CTGCGCAGCTTCTCCACCACCTGGCACGCTCTCCTTTGGCCCGCATTCACGGCCATCCTCAGTGCTTTCTTTCTTCTCCTCAGCTGGCGTCTCACCGGCTGTCGAGTGTGGCGGGATTTTAAGTCCTCTGAGAACATGACCACCTCTAATTCCAAGCCATATGCCACCGTTGTTACTTCTACCTCCATTATTTCCACTGCTACAGCCTCTGCCGCCAATGTCAATACCGCCACTACTTCATGATCCAAATGCTATCACTTTTACATTGACTTCGCGATTTACTTGCACTGCTATACATTACCCTTTATTTTTACCTCTGCAACTTTTAGTGCTGTTTATTGTGCACTCATCCATTTCTTCCCTATCTGCAATTCTTGCGAATTTTTGAGCTAACTTATTATTATAGAGGCTTTTTCCAAAATGATCCAGCACATCATTGTTCATATTTCTGCTCAATTTTAAACTTTCTTCGAAAACAGTGACAGTGTGGAAATGTATCAAATCAATGAGCTAACACCAAATATTAGTGGATTAGAAGTGGTGTTTACTAAACTGGGTTACAACTTGTGCAACACCTTAGTCATACCGCCATCTAGGTGATACTCGTTGTTTCCATTTGTATGCTAATCGTTGTCATCCTCACTTTGGATGTTTACAACTACTCTGTAGCTCTTGGTGGTGCTTCAAGTTATTCAGTTTCGGGAATGATTATTATAAGTTAACTAGAAGGACCGTAAGATTAGGAATAAACGACTTCTCTTTTCTCGCCTACCTCTAGTACGTTTGAATCACTCGGCATATTCATGATCCCCTTGAAGCTCCTAGATTACTCTTGACTGTCTTACTTTGTTCTGCTTGTGTTACCCATTTGTAGGTATTCAATTTCAGTGTTTAGGTTCTTTGCAGTCTTGTCTAATCTGGTGCTTTATTAGTAGTTCCTTAGCAGATGAGCTATGAAAGTGAACATTACCGGATAGCACGTAGACTCCAAAGACCAAGGCAGTGATATTCCTGCCTTGATTGCGACAATTCCTGGTGCGATTATAAGTAAACTGCTAAGT